GCCCCTACTTACTCTGCCCTAGACCGAAATTTTTCCAAACAAACATGGTCTCCCTGTGTAGCCCCAAGCTAGCCTTGAAGCCAAGCTGGGTTCAAGCTTTTGATCATCCTGCCTCTGCTGCATGAGCAGAATAATTACAAGCATAAGCCACCATCCCCAGAACAGTCTATATCTTTTCATGTGTCTCCTGCCCAAAGCATCTGTTTCTGCATTTGTTTATCTTGAGCATTCCAGCTGCTCTTTGTGATTTTCATCACCATCTCTTCTGCAAGTGTCCAGAGGTGCAGAAACTCAGAGGTGCAGAAAGAGATCTAAGCCCTGGGCCAACCCAGATAGGGTCTATAACATGGGCTAACAATTCCTATGCTTGTGTGAGGTCACTTGTAGGGATGTATCTCTGTCATCTCTAAATAGGCCTCATGTCTGTTCTCCTGGAGCCCAGCCCTAGGAGAATCAATGTCCATCCTGGCTTGTAGCATGAATGGGTGGGTGTACTGCTACGTGACCAAGCAAGTCAGAGGTGGCTGGCTGTAACCAAAGATCCTTACTCAGGGCCCTAGACAAACACAACCCCACCAGTGCTCCCTACACCACCTAGTGATCTAGCCTAAGTCTGCTGTTCTTGGGTAGAGCCAACCATCACATGTCAGGAGGCCTCCGCCACTAGGATGATGTTACAGTCTATTTTGAGGGTCACACTGAAGCATCTGTCAGCCAGGAAAGCCACACCCTCCATGTGTCATCATAAAAAGCTGGGGACATCCACAGGTCCATAAAATCAGCCTGAGGAACCCAGATGCCCCTTATCTCAGAGGGGCACCCCTGGCAGGGCTGGAGACATCTCCTCACCCTATCAGACCTGCTCCCTAGGTTCATAGCTCTGATGACTTGGCAAAATTCAGCTGAGGCCCTTCGGTCTGTGCCAAGCTCTTAGCTCCTTCTAAAGAGCCCTCCCTCCTAAACAGGAAGAGCACAAACGTCCAGTACCCTGTCATGAAGCTAATTACCCATTTTAGTCACAAATCCACAGGTAGTGCCTACTGGAAATCCCTACTCATCCCTCACTGTAGTGCTCAACTTTGAATCCCCTTATGAAAAGCTCTTCTCTGGCCTACTGAACAGGCCACAGGCTCCCTGAGGACAAGGCTGATCTATTGCTGTCTTTGCTTCTGCTCTATTGTATCTTGTACAATCAGGATGTAAAAACAAAACAACAACAAAAACTCTATAAATCCTTGAAATAACACCATTCTGTGGCCCTTGGGAGGCTTAGGAAGCAAGAAACTGCCGCTTGTTTGAAGTTAGCTGAGCTACAAAGCAAAGCTGTCTCAAAAGGATCACACCCAAAGCAGACAGACCAAACCTTTCTGAGACGCTGGAGAGAGAGCTCTTCCGCTAAAAGCATGGGTGGTCTTCCAGAGGACCTGAGTTTGAGTCCCAGCACCCATGTCAGGTAGGTAACTACCTGGAATGCCAGGTCCAGGGGATGTGCTATCATATTCTAGCCACCTCAGGTACTTTGCTCATAACACATATACCCAAACACACATACACATGCAACTAAAAATAATAAAATCACTTAAAAAAAAAAAAACTTTTGGTAAAACCAAACCAGACTAGCTTAGTGTTTTCTATAAAACACTAAGAAAACAAAAGCACTTCTTTCTGATGAACCATGACAATAAAAAAAAATGGATTAATAAATACCATAGAAACTCACAAATGTACAGAAAGATAGGTTTACAGATTCAATGGAAAACTGAGTTGGTCAAGCCCACCAAACAGCATGCCCTGCTTCTCTAGCCTCAGTGAGCACTCTCCCTGTCAACACTGTGAGCTTGTAAGGATCCAAAAGGAAGCTCCTTCACACTAGCCCAGAGAAGACATACAATAGCAGCCATACGAGGAAAAGTCAGCAGCAGCTCAGACACGTGTCGGGGATCAGAGCAGGACATCTGACAGGTGAGGCTATTGCGTGTCTTAAGCCCTGCAGCCAGGGCAGGCCACCAAGCATCCCAGGGACTCACCCACACAACAAGTCCATCGTCATCTGCTCCAGTCATTTTCTAGAGATGCTCAAATGAGACAACACAGGAAGGCTAGAAAACCAAAAGCTATAGCCACAGTTCATGTTCATACCATCAACAAGACCTGAGTCAGAAATATGCTACCAACACTGACGGGGAAGAGGCACTGTCTGCCTGCTGCCCTCCTCAAAAACCAAACCTGAAATGGAGTTCTGTACATAGCCAGGGCTACACAAAAAGAAAAAGAAAACCTGACCTGTACTATGTGGCTCATACCAACAACTGGTTACATCTTAACCACAAAAAGCCTTTCAGGGATTCCAGAAAGTAGCCCTGGGGAATCCTATACCCACCCCTATCTTACTGTTTTAGCTGTCTGTCAACCGAAACAAGCCACTAGAGACACATACACACATGACCTTTATTAAACTGAGCCTTCTCGATCAACTCAACAAGTGTATTTGACAAATGTAAAACTACGAAGAATAGGTTCCAGGAATGTGATCAGTTGGCAGAGCATCTGCCTACTGTCTATGAAGCCCTGGGTTTGATTTCCAGCCCTGTATAATCAGGTGGAGTAGCATGTGTCTGTAATCCTAGCACTGGGGAAGTAAAGGCTAGAGGATCATGAGTTCTAGGTCACCTTTCATCATATAAGAAGTTATAAGTTGGCCTGGGATTGATGAAACTTTGTTATTTAAAAAGGAAAACAAATGCTGGGAAAGCAGCCTGAGAAAAATACTCTCTGTTTTGTTGAGACAGGATCTTATTATGTAGCCCTGCTTGGTCTGGGACTTGCCATGTAGACCAGCCTGTCTGCCTCAGCCTCCAGTGCTGGAGACTGAAGGTGTGCCTCACCATGCATTCACCTTTTTTAGACTTGTAGACAACACAGAAGTCAGACAGTCCAACACCGAGCTTTCTTTAGCAAGAGCCACTGAAATCTAAAAAGCCAGCTGAAGGAATCTAGATCTCTAAGTTTAAATACTCCCCTTCTGAAAGCTTGCTCTTGTCTCTCACTAGCTCGGCCCTTATCTATGAAAAAGGGTCACAGAAAAAAGATCCATTTTTCCTCCCTAAAAGTTTAAGAAATACACCCACCAGTCTCCCTGGCAATATCTGAGTCCAACACCAATATCTTAGTCAACACTGTAACTATTTTTGAGGTGTTTGTTTTAAAAGGTCTTTCTCGGCGGGCTGTGGTAGCACACGCCTTTAATCCCAGCACTTGGGAGGCTGAGGCAGGCAGATTTCTGAGTTCGAGGCCAGCCTGGTCTACAGAGTGAGTTCCAGGGCTACACAGAGAAACCCTGTCTTGAAAAACCAAAAAAAAAACAAGAAACAAAAAAACAAAAACAAAAAACAAAAAAAATGTCTTTCTCATTGACACTGATTTAAACTCATTAAATATGTTTTATCAGATGGTGTGAAAAGAAATTAAAGTCTTAAGTCTTCCAGCAAATGTAAGTTTCCTATCTGCAAATGAAGCAGGTGGGAGTGGAAGTTAAAGATGCAACAGATTCCCTTGATTAAAATCCTAAAGTCACTGAATGTTAAGGGTCAAGGCGGTTGAAATGCTCACTGAACTCCCCAGAGTGACTATAAAGAGACTCAAGCCCCACGATCCACCCAAGCCCATGGGGCCCTCCAAGGCCAGGACATCACAGAGTCGCTGAGAAAGCATGCAAGGTTCTAAACCAACAGTCCTGCCCCAGACTAAGCCTCTTCTTTTGTTTTTCATTTTGTTTTGAGACAGGGTCTGACAGAATAGTCCTGGCTATCCTGGAACTCACTTTGTAGACCAGCCTGGCCTTGAACTCACGGAGATCTGCCTGTCTCTGCCTCCTGAGTGCTGGAACTACAGCCATGCATCATCACGTTCAATGCAGACTCAGCCTCTGAACCTGGTGTTTTGTACACAACATAAGAAAGACAGTTGTGAGGGGACAAAAATGATCGTAAAAGCTCAAAAACACACACTCAGGTCCACATGAGTGTCACTGGTAGGGTTTGCAATTCTCCCACCACAATCCTAAGAAAACTTGTCCCTTAGCCAGGTGACAGTATTGGTAGTGGCATGTCCCTTTAATCCCAGCACTCAGGAGGTAAAGGCAGGAGGATCTCTCTGAGTTCAAGACCAGCCTAGTCTACAGAGTGAGTTCCAGGACAGTCAGGGCTATACAGAGAAACCCCTACTTAAAAAAAAAAAAAAAAAAAAAAAGGGGGGAAAAAAAGAAAACTTGTCCCAAAATAGTCACATTGTGGTGGAATAGCTTGGGACACCTGTTTTGTTATAACTACTAGAGGTTAAAGGAGACTGGAGGAATAAGGAAGAAAAGGAAAAATGTCCCCTCTGATGCCCTGTGTCTGCTTAGGTCACCCTAAAATAGGGAGTCTCCCTAATGCTGACTTTAATAAGATCTTCCTAAAGCTGGTCCAACTGGTGTTCAAGTCCTTGGACTGAAAAACAAGTTTATGAGCGGCACAGTCACCTGACTCTGACCGTGTGTATACTGCTTATCCAGATGACAGTGGCCACCACAGCTTTGATGAATGCTACACAGACTCTACTATCCCTTTGAAGCTTACTGAGGCCTCTACTTGACTCAATGCCATAAAAAGGAACCTCAACTTCGAAAGGAGGGAAGTCACAAACACCACATGCTAGCAGGGGAAACCCCATTTGCCCTCTGAATTGTTAATGTAAACTTGTTACTTACAACCCGGACCTATGACTATCTAATTACAATACTAAAAAAAAGTGCCCTCTGCTCTACCTACAATGTGCCTACTGCTCTCAAAGCCCACTGTTTAGACCAGATCATGCCTCTAGTCAGACGAGAGGTAGCCCAGATCCAAGTGGGTCAGCAGGCTAACATCAGTCCCTATTACTAGTTCTAGAGCTTCAAACTTTGACAACAGGGAACACCAGTTCTACATTGAGGAGGGAAAGGGATAGTGAAGAAGGCTTACCCATCTCTTCCTTTGCTGACAATCTTTACTTCAAAATAGTAAATACCACAGGCTGCTGGGATGGGGTGGGTGGCCCGTACAGAGGCTGCATCTTTGTGATTTTTGCCATGACCTGATATAAGAATCCAAGGAAGGAATGTCAACACCAAAAAATACAAATGGAGTCCTCCTTTTTCTCTATGCCATGGTGACTTCAACCCTCCCTGGCCAGAAAAAGTTCTTGTAGTCTCCGAGGAATAGTAAGACACCTGAGTAAACACTTAAGCCTCCTGCCTTTAGATCATCTCCTCCCCAGAACAACAGTCCTGACAGAGATAATGTCCTCTATAACAACAAAACAAGGGTAGTTATAGGCAATAGAAGTTTGTGGGAGACACTGAATACTGCTGTCTGTCTCTCCAGAATCCAAACAGCCCGGCCTGGAGCCCAGGGGAAGGAAGTGGAAGAAATGGAAGTCACCACCAACAACAACTTTAGCATACAACCTCCAGCTGAGTCCGTGAGGACTGGCCGACAGGCAGCCCATGCACCTACTGTGACAATGTTATCACCTCTTTTTGCAAACATTATTGAAACTAAGCCGTGGTAAAAGGGCCTAGCATAAGTTGGGAGCCAGGTCAAGAAAGAAGGGTGGCCCTGAAGTGGAAGGTCTTGTCCAACACTGGTGCTGGACATTTAATGTAGTTGTCTTTCAGTCGGGTATTTAGGAACAGGGCAAAGGAAGCAGGTAAACCCCGGCCTGGCCAACCTCTCTACTTTGGACGTTCCGCTGGGCTAAGGCCCAACTCTCAGAAAACCCGGGCAAAGAACGGGATAATGGGCATATCCTCCCTGCAGACGCTCTGGGCTTGTCTCCCAGCGGCCAGACCCGCTGATACCTTTGTAATGGACACGGAGGTTTCCCTGGGAGAGGCCGATGTAGTTGTACTTGTCCTTGGGGCTCCAGGAGCGTGGCAGCGGCGTCTCGTGCTGATTAACCGCAGGGTACAAGCGCTGCAGGCGCCGACTCAGTTCCTGCTCTCCAGGTGACGGTAGCCCGCCCCCCGAGTCCCCACCGGAGGAGTCCCCAGCCTGTGGGTTCCCAGCTCCCGGGTCTGCCGTCGCCGCCGCCATCTTGGAGGGAGCTGCTATTGTGTCACTGGGGGCGGGGAGGAGTGCTACTAGATCTGTCTTGCTCAGCCAATGGGCCGTGAGCATCCCAGGGTCGTAGGGAAACTGAGTCCGAGTCCGGGCAACCTTTCTTTGGGTAGTACGATACTTCGCTAGATGTAGACTACATATCCCACAATGCAGAGCGCTATAGAAGCCAGCCAACGCGGTCTCCTGAAGAACTTCGGAAGATGTAGTACACAAATGCTCACTCACGAGCCAGTACAACGAAGACTCCGAAACACCGAGAACTACCGTTCCCAGCTGGCCAAGTGGCCAGACCTCGAAGCTCCCCTTCCTCCTCCATGGTCTCAGTTTATTCTCCTGCCTCAGTTCTGTAGCTAATATCAAATTTGCTCCACTGACTGGTTCTCAGAACACCTCATCCCCGGGTCCGGGTCTACCTTTACTACTTGGCCTTTCTCCAGAGTGCTCACGGGGGCAGGAGGCTGTAGGCGTGGCGCAGCCGTGATCCCGCCCTCAACGCGGAGGCCGCTGGGGGCTGGTCCCCATGGCAACGGACTGTACACTACCGCAACGGCTCCAGCCTGCTTCTGCTCCAAAGTCATGGCCAGCCCCCAGGAGCGTACCAGTTTCTCCAAGCCAAGGTAGCACCTGGCCGGGCTGAGGGCGGGGAGGACTTGAATATTTCCAGGAAGAAAAATGACACTGATCCAGATCGCTGCACTGTCTGTTGGTCTCTGTTCTTTGGGCTAGGACTTCAGCGCCACAGAAACAGCGATACAGTTGTAATAGAACTGGGGCTGACTCGTCAGTCCAGTAAGAACGTTACGTGATGCCAAAAGTGCAGGCGTACTTTATCATTAGATACATGATCTTAGCTAAACACTGAAAAACGAAGTCCCTCATTATAATTATATGTGAAATTCGCACCACAGCTCCTGTATATAAGAAGCACTCAGTGTCTAATGAATGTTGTTTCCCGCCTGCTCATTCTCAGTAGTGAAAGGGCGAGAGAGGTGACTTCATTCTCAACTCTAATCTTTCAGGGTCTGCTGCCTTGATAGAAAAAGGCTACAAAGGCCAACCTGTGCTACAGTGAGAGTTCCAGGACAGCCAGGGTTATATGAAGAGATCCTATCTTAAGTAAATGAATTAAAATAATAAGTCTGCAGACATTCCAAGGACAGGAAATGCCAATGCTATGATTGTCCCTGGAGCTTAAAAAAATTAGTCTACGAGAAACAAGCAGCAGGTTGAAAAGGAGAGCTGTTACCCATCAAAGGCATAATCCAGGGAAGTTACTATCTATGAAAAAATATGTAATAGGGCTGGGGCTGTAGCTAGAATGTGCCAGGACCTGGTTTGATCCCCAGCAACACACAGAATATGAAACAGACTCAGTATCTTGATTCAGTAGGTAGGGAGCACAATGTAATTTCTATGAGCTGAATTTGATGGTTATGTGAAATATTACGTCACCATTCATGTAGTGACACACTGTTTCCCTTATAGAGATGCAGTGTGGGTTTCCTCCTTCAGACCTTAAAGAGGGTCAACAAGATGGACAGGCCAGAGCTTAGCACAGTACAATGTAAGCAGAACCTGATAAAAGAGACCTTAGAGTTTTATATATCCTTGGAGACTGTTTCTCCTCCTATGGACTTTTCTCCTTTTGTTCTCATATGCCTGCATGCTACTTTAGTGGGCTGTCTGTGAAGGTCATTCAATACCAGGAAATACTCCTGAGAACCCATTGCCTACAGCCAATTATAACAGTGGGTTTTCACCACCATTGAGGTATAAATGTAAATATTTTGCATTCCTCCTTGAGGATTGGTGTTAAATCATTTTTTTAAAAAATAGGAGCCTAGGGCTGGGCGGTGGTGGCGCACGCCTTTAATCCCAGCACTTGGGAGGCAGAGGCAGGAGGATTTCTGAGTTCGAGGCCAGCCTGGTCTACAGAGTGAGTTCCAGGACTGCCAGGGCTACACAGAGAAACCCTGTCTCAAAAACGAAAAAAAAAAAGGAGCCTAGGACTGGAGAGATGGCTCAGTGGTTAAGAACACTGGCTGGCTGCTCTTCTAGAAAACCTGGGTGAGATTCCCAGCACCCACAAGGTAGCTCACAACTCTCCTAACTTTTGTTCCAAGGGATCCAAAGTTCTCTTCTGCTCTTCTGGGGAAATACTCATATACATAAAATAATAAAATAAAAGTTAAAATAAGAAAAGTAATTAGGGACTTGAGAGATGGCTCAGCAGTTAAGAGCACTGACTGCTCTTCCAGAGGTCCTAAGTTCAATTCCCAGCAACCACATGGTGGCTCACAACCATCTGTAATGGGATCTGGTGCCCTCTTCTAGTGTGTCTGAAGACAGTGACTGTGTGTTCACATACATAAAATAAATAAATAATTATTTTTAAAAAAGAAAAGTAGTTAGAAATTAAAAATAAACTAATATGTATCTGTCTTGGGTTTTAACTGCTATGAACAGACACCATGATCAAGGAAAGTCTTTTTTTTTTTTCCTTGCCTCAAGATTATTTGTAAAAACAGCACTGGACCACTGGTCATCTGCAAATAGTGTGTAGGTAGGTGTGTCACAGCAGTGCATCTGTCTTCACACTGGCAGGAGCCTTTTCTAAGACAAGTCTTACAAAGGACAACATATATTTGGGTCTGGCTTACAGGTTCAAAGGTTCAGTCCATTATCATCAAGGTGGGAGTATGGCAGCATCCAGGCAGGCATGATACAGGCAGAGCTGAGAGTTCTACAACTTAATCTGAAGGCTGCTAGTAGAAGACTAACTTCCAGGCATCGAGGCATATCAGTTTATGCTGGTAATTCCAGGATTCAGGAAGCAAAGGGAGGAAGATAGATACTAGGCCAGCCTGGTCTCCGTCATGATTTTCAAGGTAGCTCAGGATACTTAGTGAGAACCATGTCAAAATTTAAGTTAAGTAAATGAATAATTTTTTGAAACAGAATTTTGAAACAAGGAGAGTGACTGATCTTGAGAAAAAGGTATTAAGAACCCAATGAGCAGATTAAGTTGTACTACATCTTGTTGTTCTCCAATATGTGTCTTTAAAAAACAACAACAAAAATCAGTTTTGGAGACTGAACCTGAATCTGATGCCTATTAGGCAAGTCTCCTGCCATTGAGGTATATGCCCAGTTCCTCTAGTTGGTTTGTTTTGAGAAAGGATGTTACTATTTACTCTTGATTGGCCTGGACCTCACTATGTAGAGCATGCTGGCCAAAACATATCTGAGATATACCTGTCTCTGATTCTCAACTGCTGGGATTTAAGGTTTGTGCCTAGCCCAACTCCCTTTCTGCCTTCTATCACGAGAGGATGTTGGCAAGGTACTCAGGGTGGCCTTAAACTTGTAATCCTCCTGCCTCAGCCTCCTAACCAGCTAGGATTACAGGACTACTAGTGCGCAAACACATACATAGCCGGTGACACATATCCTTCTCTATACGTTGCTTGTCTACGTACTTCGTACACATTTGTGCAATGTTAAGTGGCATTAAAAGACTAGGGTTTCGGGTCTCAGTGCTCCATACTAGAATAGGCCTGAGGAATTCTAAAGAACAGAGTTTCCCAACTGGGTTCACATGTTTGGGTAATACTAGTCTTACTTTTTATTTGGTTTTTTTTTTCTTTAGGTTTTTCAAAACAAGGTTTTTCCTTGTAGCTCTGGCTGTCCTGGACTCTCTCTGTAGACCAGTCTGGCCTAGAATTCAGAGATCCACCTGCCTCTGTGTCCTGCGTGCTGGGATTAAAGGCATCCGTCACTAGTACTCAGCTTTAGTCTCACTTTTTTATGAGCAAAGAAACTGAGGTACAGCAACATACTTAAAGTCACTAGCTAGCAATACCAATGAGCACACAGGTACACAGATCTATCTAGCAGCATACCCTTACCCCACAGATCACTGAATTACCTCTTCTGTTTCCTCTGCTTGGGCCACGCTGGCCATATATAAGTAGCCCTCTCTGTTGCTCTTTGAATGCCTTTGTACCTTGATCAAGCCCCTTCCCAAGAGACTTGACTTTCAAGTTTGAGATCGCTTCAGGATTCATTTTTCTCCTAATCTGCTATTATAATTAACACCTGTACAACTCATTTTAGTCTTTGTAGTATTATGTTTATCTCACTTTTTGTGGGTTTATTTTGTTTTTTTTTTGTTTTTGTTGTTGTTTTGTTTGTTTTGAAACAGAGTTACTCTGTGTAGCCTTGGCTGTCCTAGAAGCTCTGTAGACCAGACTGGCCTCTAACTCACGGAGATCCACCTTCCTCTGCCTCTCAAGTGCTGGCATTAAAGGCCTGTGCCACTGCCACCTAGTGCTTAATACACTCATATTTAACCTTTACAAAACTATTGGGAGAAGAATAAGAATTGTCTGTTTCTTTAAGAGAAAACTGCTAAAGGAAATTAAATGATTTGCTCAAATCTGATCCTTTAGAAACCCTAGATGCCAGGCTCCCAGACTCTTTCAGTCATTAAACAATGTCCTCTTCTGGACTGTGCCAGTACCTGTACTCACAAGTAAAGTGCACAGACTCACAAGCAGACACAAACACACACACACAGAGAGAGAGAGAGAGAGAGAGAGAGAGAGAGAGAGAGAGAGAGAGAAACTAAAAAAGAAGGGAGAGCGCCCCCTTATGGATCTGAGAAGGGTCAGAGGTCAGCAGGATCTCCCTGTTTTCGGCTTTGTCACCCACTGCAGCTTCTTCTCTATGCAGAACAAGTACACTATCTTCAGGAGGAACTCCGGAAACCAAGGGCATTGAGAAACGCAGGCTTTCTCAGAAACGAAGGACACTGGTTAGTGATGCTCTTCTTTTGGAACCCCACATGTTACTCTCTACAACCTGTCCCGCCTACAAGCCAAAAGCATAACTCAGCAGACTAGTTTCTTCCCAATCAGAGAAGTATGACTCACTCACAGAAGCCAGGCTCACCATGATCTGGAGGAGGAGGTGAGGGCATGCTGGTCCCTC